TCCACACTCAAATAGATCATAATGAAAAATGATTTTGTAATCTCGAATAAAGTTAGACATAAGTAAAAAATTTATAATTATTAGTGTTAAATTTTTAATTATGTGCATTATGGATAAATTGAAAATTCATACTAATTTTAATTATTCAACACATGTTTAGCATTTTAATTTCATTATTTTATTTTGATTTTTATTCAAATGTAAATTTTCAATTTAGAAATTCTTTTTCTTTTCCTTTTTTTTTGAAAAGAAAATAATATGACAATTATTTTTTATTGAAATTTCATTTAAATTCTTTCACCATTTGGGATAAATTTAAAGAAATTTCACATCAAAATATTTCTTAAAAAATTTACCATTTGAAATTTCTAAGAATCTCATCTTTGAATAATTATCAAATATTTTCAACCAAATTTTTATTTGGAAAAGAATACAATTACTTTTATTGAAATTTTATCTAAATTATTCCACCATTTAGGATAAATTTAGAGAAAATTTCTCACATAGAGATTTTTTAAGAAATTTACCATTTGAAATTTCTAAGAATCTCATCTTTGGGTAATTTGTATTTTTTCAAAATTTACTAAATCTCTTTTTTTATTTTTTAAATAATTTTTTTGGTTTGAAAATAAATATTAATTATTCTTATTAAAATTTTGTCTAAATTATTCCACCATTTCAGATAAATTTAGACAAAATTTCTCACCCAAAAATTTTATAAAAATTTATCATTTAAAATTTCTATAAATTTCATCATTGAATAATTAATATTCATTGCCAAAATTTATTTTATTTTTATTTTTTTAAATTAAATCATTTATAAATTAAAAAAAACATATAAATAAAAAATACAAAAAAATAGAAACGACTTGGTTGGAGTGACTAAATCAGCTCGACTACAAGCATAAATGATGCTCAAAGCGTGGCTTAGGGAAAATCGACTCAGCAGCAGGGTCTGACTGGGATGTGGGTCAACAAATCAGGTTACGCTTAGGTCAGGTCACCAAAATAGAAACACACGGATCTTGAGAAGTTGCTTAATGCCAAAATGACGTCATTTTAAAACGCTATAAAAGGCTAATTTTTAGCTTTTTGCTCAGATTTCTCCTCCATTTCTCTTTATTTTCCCCTTCTTTTCTCTCTTTTTCTCTCTAATCGAATGAACTTCAGTTGAATCCTTCATCGGATTATGAAAAACATTATCAAAATCGAGGTTGATTTGCCAGAAGGTCGTCAAAAAACTCAACCAACACTGAAATCTGGGCCAGATTCTGGGAAATCTGTCGAAAAATTCAATCGGTGCTGAAAAACTCATTGAAAAATTCAATCGACGTTGAAAAATTTCATCGAAATCTGAAAATTTTTTAAAAAATTTCCAAAAAAAAATTTTTTTTTACCCAAAACACTCCAAATTTTTTTTTTATTTTATGCTTGCTGTCTTCCTTGATTTTGTTTCTATTTTTTGTGTGTTTCTTTTGTGTCCAAGGCTATATTGATAGGGCTTCAATTCGATAGCCTTAAACCATATGGGATTTTAATCATTTCTGATTTCTAACTCCAAACCTTAATTCAGCTTAAACTCTTCAACTCAATCCTACCCAAATTCAACCACTATTTTTTCCCGTTTTTCTAGCTTTTTTTAATTTTTTAATTTTTTAATCTTTTTATTAATAGAATCCATATCTTGTAAACCTCCAAATAGATTGAGGTTTCTGCACCCAATGGTCAATTCCAAGTTCATGATTATTAAAACCTCTAAACTTAATTTCAAAATTTTATGACTTTATTTCTCCACCATTATGTAACCGATATATCTCTGTTATTTACCACTTTTAATTAGTCATAATATTTTTAGATGTATAATAAATTCAAACTTTAGTCATAGGACCAATATACATATAAACAACTAGAATCCATAATATATTTAACTCCTATTTCAAATACTTTCACAATCATTTTGTGACTAATATGTTCATATCTAGATCACCATATCAATACAAGTCATAAAATATAAATCCAAAGAATCATTTTCATAAAATAGTATAAACAATATTTATAATATGAGTTTTACTCATATTTTATGCAAAAATTCATGATGAATTTGCATTGGTTAAATCATTGATTGACTAACTCCAAGGCTTACAACTTTTACAAATCAATATTATCAAAGCCTATATGTTAATATGGTAATAACCAGCCACATCCTTGCTATTATTATGTAACTATTGAAAACTTCAAAATTTTGTTCATTTTTCATTTTAACAGCCTGTAAAAGGCCATTTTTCAGGTACAAGAAGCAAAAACATCTTTATTGTCTTTAACCAATAATGTATTAATTAGATGATGACATTCTATCTCCATATTTCATATCTTTCTTATATGTCTAAGAAAGAAAATTTTATCCCATTCAATTTATTTTCATAATATATGGCAAACTGTAATAATATTTTCCATGCCATCACAAAATGGAATTAAATACATACATGTATTGGTGCCTTTGGAACATTGAATTTGCATTCTTTTCTAATTTATAAACATGCCTAATTAGACATTGATAAGCATCCTTCAAAATGCTAGTAACTGACAAATGCTTCAATATTTTTTAATGGCATGCTTTTTTGTTTAATCAATATCTTATATGCAAAAAGTAACAATGTTTTTTTTTCTACAACCATTGATTAACTTTTTGACGGCTTTTTATGTTTTCCATTTTGTGATTGTTTTCATAAAAACTATGGGACAATTTGCCTATTTTATATATAACCAAAACATAACAATTAAACAATTAGCCATTTCATTATAACCTAATTTAATTTGATACTTGATAACAAGTGATAATTTTTTTTTTTTGTTATAAATCAATTCATGTCTTTCTCTTTTATGTTTTCAGGCTATTTCCCATCTTAATCTTTATAAGCATCAATTTTTCAAATAAATATAATAAAATTCATTAAACATAATTATGGAGTCAATTTCAGTATATGCATAAACTTATGTAATGTAATCAATATTTTGCATATTGTTTTAACTTTACACACTAATGAAATAAATTGTTAACATGTTTATATCATTCAATCAATCTTTTTACTAGCAATTATGCAAAAAATAAAATACATACCTCTAATGATGATCTTTATGAAAATTAACATTTTGGTCCATGGAAACCTTAATCCTTTGACATCTTGAGCCTTCTCTAATAGTGATCTCTAAATCATGCCAATTTTTTTCTTATATCTTCCTCATGCGAAATATAAATTTCTCATAATCACCTTTCAATTGTTATAAAAATAAATAAGAAAAGAGAAATAATAGAAAAGAATTTTAGCTTTGAAGCATGAAGACCATTTTTTTAAAGGCAATTATGACTTTAAAATGCAACAAAGCCTCAAACTCTCCAATCAGAAGCAGTAAAAATGATTATACTAAAAAAATTTTTATAATGAATGAACAGATATAAACTTTTATTCAGATAGTTATGACCTTTTGTATAATCATGACCTTTTGTATAATCACGACCTTTATGAATAATAATATATTTATATTCAAATAGTTATGACCATTTGTCATATGATAATTATTTCTGTTCAAACATAATTATTTAAAATATGAATAAAATTAATATAAAAATTAATTTTATTTTTCAATAATTAAATATTTCTATCTATTGTGGGATGACCACATTCTAAATTACCAACAGCTCGTAGCTTAGTAAGTGGTTGGTCAATTTGGTGAATGGTTAAAAGCTTCTCGTTGGCCCATTCAAGCTTAGCTTCACAGTGAACGGATTAGGCCAATGTTAGAAAAAATAAATAAGAGAAGAGAAATAATAGAAAATAATTTTGGTTTTGAGGCGTGAAGAACACTTTCTAAAAGGTAATTATACCTTTAAGATACAACAAAGCCTCAAACTCTCTAATAAAAAATAGTTAAAATGGTTACGCTGAAAGATTTATTCATAATGAATAAACAGACATAAACTTCTATTTAAATTATTATGACCTTCTGTATAATTATGATCTTTATGAATAATAATCTATTTATATTCAAATAGTTATAACTATTTGTCTTATGATACTTGTTTTTATTCAAATATAATTATTTAAAATATGAATAAAATTAATACAAAAATTAACTTTACTTATTAATAATTACAATTTTCTAACTGATGTGGGCACCATATTCTAAACTACCAATAGCCAGGCTACCATAGAGTTTCATCTACTCGTTAACATGTATCCACAGTAGGAAACAACTTGTCTAAGTTGCAAAATTCCTTTAAGAACGGCCATATTTGCTCTGTTCTTAAGCCTTTTAGCTCCATTATGGCCTTTTCTTCCCATTTAAGCTCTGTTTCTTCATCCATTTGAGAGAGAAAGAGAGAGGAAGATAAAATTAGAGAGGAGAAGAGATCAGAAATGTGAGAGGTAACCATTACCTATCTCATAAATTTCAATCCATCCATTCCAAGATTCTAAATCAAGACCTTTAAAATAAAATTTTAAATTGTAATTGTTAAGATTTGTTAGATGATATTACTTAATGGACAAGAAAACTTACAGAAGAAAAATTCTAAGAAGAAATGGATTCTTGATAGACATATATACTTATAAATAAGTGAAGTCTCTATAGGGTTAGAAATAAGAAAAATATATAAAATAGTTATAAGGTTTTATAGGATAAACACCTTATAGGACTATTGGATATTTAACATCCTTCTGAGTATGTATGTTTGAGTGGATTAGAAGAGACTGAGATAATTCACATAAGTATAATGCATGGATGCGCATAAATATGTGTTTGTTTGGATGCAGAATACTCTATAAGATTAAAGGAGATTGAGAGAGTCTATGAGTATTGATTATTGAGTGAGGTTAATATAATTTATATGTTTGTAATTCTCTACAACTAGTGGATCTTATTTTTTATTTATGAACGTAAGGTGATTGAATTAAATTACATTAAATTATTATTTTTTGTATGATCAATTGATTAATTATTTAATTTTACTTCCACTAACTTTGATATTTGATTGGATTGGGACTTCTGATCCAACACATATAACATAGGAAACCAGACAGGATCTTGTGGGTTAACAACATTAATATTGAAGCAACAGAGAAAACATAACTGATACCATGATGCTATTCCAAGCTTGATTACAATAAAAGCACCAGAAATATTTTTAAGATCCAAATTTCTACCGGGTAACATACAACTAATTAACAGGACTTCAATACAAGTCAACGTTAAATCTGACCCTCTAGATTTGAGCCTTGACAGCATCCTCCATTTTCTTTCCCATGAATTGGATAGAATCATTAAGATAAGAAGCCAAATCTTCTAATCTCAACCCTTCACACGGATCAACTATAAACGACAACTCGATCTTGCAGCCTGCAGGTTTATCATCACCCTCCATTGGCAAGACTTTGAGAGTACCTATGTAGTTCTTCAAACCCATATTATTTTCCAGGACCTCGTAGCTTAGGGAGCGGTTGTTCGGATCAATGGCTAAAAGCTTCTCGTTGACCCATCCAAACTTGCCTTCACAGTGGCGGACCAGGCCAGGCTGCCCTGGAGTTCCCTCGACTCGGTAACATGTATCCACGTCAGGAAACAATTTGTCTATGTTGCAGAATTCCTCTAAGAACGGCCATATCTGCTCTGCTGTTGAGCCTTTTAGCTCCGCCGTGACCTTTCCTTTCCATATCGGCCCTGTTTCTTCAGTCATGTGAGAGAGAGAAAAAAAGGGGAGGAGATGGAATTAGAGAGAAAAGGAGATCTGAAATATGAAATGATTATTCTTGATGAGACATCATAAAGATAAAGTGGTACAGCGGACCAGTAGTTGAATTCATATACTTATTTAAACTAAATGGTGTACAAGATTACAGAATTAGCCTCATCATTTCTATCTATTAAAATATACAATGGTATGGGTATTGTGGCTTATCATACCCTCGATTTTGTCTATGTACATTATTGGTCAAATTATGATAATAATCCTAATATTTTAATGAAATTAAAATTTTAATTTTTTTATAATTCATAAAAATATAATTCTTGTATTATTTTATTTTCATAATTTTAATTTAATTATTAATTCATCGAATTTTTATCTTTAAAAATATTGATATTATCATTCACTTAATGATATAAATATTGATTTTACTAGAATGTCATTGACTTTATTGATATGATGTTAATTTTATTAATTTGATAACATAAATGAATGAAATTAATTATCAAATTATACAAATAGTACTTACATTTGTACAAAATTTGAAAATTTATCTTTTTAATATAATTCATAAAAATATCATTTTCATACAAGTTAAATTTAATAATGTTAATTGCTAATGTGATCATTTATTTTTTATTAACTTTGTTTACATAACTGTTATCTTTTTAAAAAAATATATGAAATTTCAAAAAAAATCTCAAAAACCTAAGAAATTGAAAAGAACTAAAAATCTCAAAAAATTAAAAAAAATCATTTTTTAAGCTTTTTCAAAATTTTTAACGTGAAATTCATTTTTTAAAAAAATATTTTAGTTTTTAAAAAATCATATTTCTTGATTTTTTAACAATCATATTTCAATTTTTTAAAAAATAGAAAATTTTAATTATTTAGAGTTTTTTATTTTAAAAATAATAATTTTATTTTTTAATATTTTAATTTTTAAAAAAATAATATTTCTTGAATTATTATAAAAAATTAGATTTAATTTTTTTATAAAATATTTAAATATTTGTAAGTTTTATGAAATTTTTAGATTTTTTAAAATATTAAATTTAATATTTTAAAATTAAAGTATTGTACAAAATTAAATTTAATATTTTAAAAAACCAATAAATTCTAAAAGTTGAAAACTATTTTTATAAAAATTGAAATCTGATTTTTTAAAAAATAAAAGAAATAATTTTTGTAAAATTTAATATTAAAAAAATTAAATTTAATATTTTAAAAAGAAGAACATTTTCAAATAATTCATAAACTTGAATTTTAAAAAAAATTAAAATCTTATTGTCAAAAAAATTCAAGAAATATTGTTTTTTAAAAACTAAAATTTTGGAAAAAATTTTAATTTAATGTTTTTTAAAAAATGAAAAAGCCTAAAATATCATAAAATATCATTTTTTTATCATTTTTAAAATTTCAAACATTTTCATTTAAAATTTTAAGACTTTTTAATTTTCAAACGTTTTTCTAAAAAATAATAGTTATGTTAGTAAAGTTAATAGAAAATAATTGATTGAATTAGAAATTGGATCACATTATCAAATTTAATTTGTACCGGGACAAGATTTTTATAAATTATACTACAAGAATTTAAATTCAAATTTTGTATGAATATATATATCATTTGCACAATTTGATAATTGATTTTATTCATCTATATTATTATGTTTGTAAAATTAATGTCACGTTAACAAGATAAATGTTTACATTATCAAATCAATGACTACATTAGTATTTTTTTACGTAAAATAGTAAAATTACACTTTCTTAATCCCTGATTGCTTTCTTGTTCATGTTTAAAAATGTTTCGATTTTGATTCTTTTAAAAAAAAATTATATATATACATATATATGATTTGTTCTCTATCTATTTTATATAAATTTTTACAATTGTATATGTATATATTATCAGGAAATCATATAATAATATTTAAAAAATAATTTTAAATTTTTAAATTTTTTTATAAAATATCATTTTATGATTTATTAACAATGTATAATATTTATATTGATAATGCATTAAATATAAATATATATTATGCTTCATTATTTCATAGTTAAAAAATGGTTTATGATTCCATCAATTGCAAAATCAAAATTCCGAATTTAAAGATTGGCTTTTTTTCCTATTCAAATGCTCAAATTCTTTCTACAAATATAAAAAAAAAATCTAAAATCATCAACTTTTGTTTACAATTAATTTCTTTTTTATAATAGCATTGAAACAATAGGTTTTTTTTCTTTTTTGCTGAAAGATTGAAATAAGAGCATAATGATTAGTATATTACATTTTCTACTAAAAACATGTACATTAAATTCAAATATGAAGCATCACTCTTTTAGTTGAAAAAAATATAAAAAAATTGAAGTACTAAGTAGAAGAATTGGCATTGGTTTGAATTGCATGCCAAGTATAGTTTGATGTATTTATTTCATTTTAATGAACATAAAGATTAATTATAGTAATGGTCAACACAACATATTAGATTGTTGATCTATTGATTTTAGAAGATTAAGTACAAAAAAAGCTTAAGTAGTAATTATAAGTTGCAGCAGATTTGACTTTATGAATGCAGATTAATTAGAGAAAATTGACACGATAGAGTAATGGGCATTGGTGCCATAGCCGCTATCTTGACACTTTTTAGAGGATCAGCAAATTAATAAAATGGCGTTGGGTGTGATATATAGAAAGGATATAATGGTGAAAAATATGTGATAGACCCAAGCAGAACACAAAGACTCATTGACAAGGTCTCCTGCAATGTTTTTAAACCCAGCTAAACGAGATCCAACTATGTTGGTCATTGAGCAAAATAAAATATGGTCTACTCTGCATAATCCTCCATGGAGCCTGCTGTTCTTTCCCTGTCCGAGATGGTAAATGTAGGCATTCCAAGCCAGCCTCAAAATGACAGATATGAGAGCCTTGCCCCTGCTTATGTCAATCACCTACTAGTCTACTAACGCCGCAAGCAGACAACACTTTTCCCCACAACTGCTTGGAATAAACGCAAGTAAAGAAAATATGGTTCGATCTCCTCTTGACAGAAAATGCATTCAAGTGGTTGCAAATGCTCCTAACAGCTGATCCTACTCCTGCTTGGCAATCTATCCAGAATTGCCATCCAAGTGATAATAGCATGTCTTGGGATACGGAATTGAAACCAAACCAGCTTGGTAACTCCACCGTAGGCAGACTTCTAAGTAGACCATGGAATTTTCCAAACCTTACCTCCACCCTGCTGCTGCATGAAGTTCTGGGCTAATAATCTCAATTTCATTAGCTTCTTAGTTCTTACAGCTCCAACTAAATCTTTGGAGAATAGACATAATTCCTTTCAAGACATAAGCTTGAATCCACGCTACCCAAAGTGAATCTGCCTGTATGAAAAAACCACCCAAAGATTTCTAAGAATGCAAGCCTTATTCCAAGCCAACAACTCCTTAAGCCCCAAACCTCCTTCTGACTTATAGGATGAAAATTGGCTTGCCGGCTGATTCAAGCTTCTTTGTTATTGCCTTCCCCTACTTTCCAAAAGAAAGCAGCAAAAAGCTGTGTAACCCTCTTTACATCCCTTGTAAGCAAGCAGTATACAATTTCTACACCAGAAATTGCGAATATTGAAAATGACTGAGTGAATAAGTTGTGATTGACCAAAAATAATAATAAGTTGTAAACATCCAGAGATGTTTTGCAGCCCAACCTTTGATTCTCTGAGTCATCTTTTCCAACAAATTAAGGGGAACAATCTTTGTCATTAACAAGTGAAAGCCCTAAATACCTAAAAGGGACAGAGCCGCCATCCTTGAATAATATGATGAAGCTTAATGTAAGCGTCGAATTTTTAGACTCTAAAAATTGATTTTAACAAATCAATTTTAGTTTATATATAAACAAAATTATGTTAAATAGTGGTAGGAGTACCGATCGGCACTTTTCAGTGTCAATTGTGTGCTCGCTACTGCCGGTCGACACTTTCGTTATCGATAGAAAGTCATTAGTTGGTGTTGAGGTAAAATTTTGGCCAGACCTTTGGATCTTTGAGGAATTCAATAGTGCCAATTTGCTTTTCTTATTATATATGATTGATACAGATGTGCTTAATTCCGAAAATTTTGAGAGTAAAAGAAAACACAAGAAAATGGTATCAAAAACTCAAATTCCCATTTCACTCTTGCTAATAAACGTGAGTCTCACAGAATTTACTAACATGCTCCATTCTTTATGTACTAGTCTGTAATTAATGTTATTAGGCACTAATTAATTTTTTTTCTAATTTAATTGGAAAATTATGAAAAATGATGAGATATAAATGAGAGAAAATTCTCCTTTTTTTATTTCTCCAAATATTGCAAAAAATGAAAATTATAATATTATGATGTGATAAATTGCTCGAAATTATTGGATTATACAACAAGAGATTAAGATGTCAATAAATAGGATATGGATAGAGTAGAGCATTTTTCATATCCAGATTTTTATATTATATACATTTTCATACTCGTACTCAATGGATATTTTAAATTTATTATTTAATGGATATAGATAATCTTCATACTCATAATTTTTTTAAAAAATTTAAAACTAATTTTTTTTTAGCTTTTTGAATTTTGATCTTGTATATTTAGGTAGTTTTTTTATAAAATATATATTAATATATATATTTCAATTAAATTATATTAATTTTAATTAATATAAAATAATAATTTATATCATTTAATAAAAAATCTATATGCTAAATATATATAAACATATATCAGGTACATATATAGGACATGTGCTATATTATCCATCCCTATACCCACAATGTAATATCCATCCCCATACTCACAATGTAATATCCATTCCTATTCTTATTCCCATTCGGATGAAAAATCAAATTCTTCATTAGATATAAGTAAAATTAATATCTTTACAAAAAATAATCCCCTTTATCTTAAAATTTTTAATCCTTCCATTTGAGAAATCAAACTCAAGAACATTAAAATAATCATTAAGAAATGAAGTAAACTTATATGGATGTCACCTTTTTTGAGAATTAAAAAAGTTTTTTTATTTCTATGGATGTTACCTTCT